CACAAATACTCGCACCAACGAATGGCACAAAAATTCCAAATTGATTGAGAGTGACTGAGTAGAGTTTCAAGTATAGTTCAAGAGGGAGAGAGAGAGAGAGAGAGAGAGAGAGAGGAGAGAGAGAAGAGAGACCAGAGAAAAGAGGTAGAAGAGAGAGAGAGAGAGGAAGAAGAGAGAGAGAGAGAGAGAAGAGTAGAGAGAGAGAGAGAGAGAGAGAGAGAGAGAGAGAGAGAGAGAGAATGAGAGAGAGAGAGGAGAAGAGAGGAGAGAGAGAGAGAGAGAGAGAGAGAGAGAGGAGAAGAGGAGAGAGAGAGAGAGAGAGAGCAGGAGAGAGAGAGAGAAGAAGAGAGAGAAGAAGAGAAGAGAGAGAGAGAGAAAGAATGTTCGAAAAGTGCAATCAATATGGCAGCATGAAAACTATTGCCAATCAAGCTGCATGGGTTGCGTAGTTATGGAAGTACCCTGTGTCATAGGCCACAGGTCAACACTGACCCATTAGAATGTAAGGACTTTCGGCCACAGACTTTTCGGCCTATGGACTTTCCGTGGCCCGAAGTACATAGGCCGAAAAGTCGTAGCCGAAGAAGTCGCGTGGCCGAAGAGTCCGATTCACTGACCCCATTAGAGGGAGGCGTATAAATGATTTGTTTGGGGGCAGATCAGGATTCACAAAATGATCGCAAATCGATGGGTTGGTCTATGATCATAGATGCAATAATGTAAACCAATACAGGATGTAAGCTCAACACACCACCTAATCTTGTGTTGGGTTACATTAATTGTATCTAGGGGGTTCGCTGTCACAGGTGACGCTCTTTCGCATTCCCACAACGAGGTGAATAAGCCACAGTCATAGAGCCTACTCGGCCCGAGTTTGTCTCAAAACAAACAGGCCCAAAGATGGTCATTATATTATCGCATAATATTTGTAGTTAGCATTTTGGGATCTCTCCCAGTTTAAATCAATGGAACAACGCTCGCATGATTTGGAATGGTTCGAGATTACAAATTGAAGGGTTTTACTCATTAACGTTCGAGGGTTCGCCAAATTTCAGTCAGTCGCATCTGATTTCAAGACTACTAATACCACAGGGTCCTTGGAACCGTTTCAATAATAAAATGTTTAAATCAAACACGAACGTACTTTTTTACTACCGAAAGTTTCAATGTTTCTCTAAACGTCTCTTTTCGCTTATATTTACTAGCAATAAACTTACTGTATGCCATTCAACATGCTCTCTCTGCAACACACAAGTACACCTGGGCATCGATGCGGCTGTTCACAAAACTACAAAAAATATAGGAACAGGTGGGAAACGCCAATGTCAGCAGGCAGTGTTCAAAACAAGCGACGATGGCGTGGCCATGACGCAAAAATTATTGTCCAGTCTCTCTCACCATCAGCTTACCGGCAAACTGCTTGAACATCATAGATATGCAGAGCACATTTTGTATCACCTCGAGCGAGTCGAGAATGACATCTAAACTTGTCCTTAAATTGACATAGCGTCACAATTTTCTATGGTGATATCTCGCTACAAAAAGTTGTTGCACATTCTTTTTTAATATAAAAGTAAGCTACTGACGTGACATAACACGTATCGTCAAATTCTTACCTGATACAGATTGTTTCTCAACTAGTTAAACAATCCCAAAAACCTGGACGATTTGATATTATACGATCGCAGACATTAATAATAAAATAATATATTGCTTGGGCTATGGCGTTAGCATCGAACAATTATAGTAGAAATAGAAAGCATAATGCAGGCAATTTAACACACAAAAGTGAACAGAATTACTTACATTTTGTGAAACAAGTGGGAAATTTTTTTTTTTAATTTTTACTATTTAACGGGTGAGCGTAATCATTTAACCCCATGGATTCAAGATAGGCCACTCAACTATCCTCCCAGCTGCTCACAACCTGTAATGCTCCCTTAATGGCATATACTGGACAAGGCGGACGGGCAGACAGAACGGTCATTCTACTCGACTTCTCCCAGAGATTTGACAACCTACTGTCCCCCACTACAGGACTAAAGTACTGAGCAAACTTGCAAGTCTATGGAATACAAGCCCTCTACTCGAATGGCTACAGACGTTCCTTACGGCAGACTAGCCATGTCAGTCATGGTCGAAGGGGAGCATTCACATGCTGTGTCCAGTGACATTCTGGGGTACCACAGGGCACTGTATTGGGTCGCTTACTCTTCTTATGCATGGACCCCCAACTGGTCTAACTTCTCTGACATGGCCGTTTATTCTGCAGATAGACCTGTCTAATCTACATACAAATCAAGAACGCACACACGAACTACCAAATTCCTCCAAGACATTATCTCCATACTAACTCGAGAAATGAGCCAACAAGTCATAAGGCAGCGAGTCATGTGCTTTCGGCACCATGCTTTAAAAATTTTTATACGTTTGTGCAAAGCGGCGTCGCGTGCGCTGAGGTGTAGCTCGTGTGTTGGCAGAGGAGCATTTGGAGCAGAATTATACTGGAAATTTGTCGGCGAGTAATAAGCGAAGTAGCAAAACATTACCTAATTAAGACTTTAGTAATTAGTACGGAGTAAATACAGTTTTTTGTGTTTTATTTAGGTATAATTACCATTATTGGAACGTTCCAATGGCCCTGTGAGGGTGAGCTGATCCAAGAACAGCAGCTCCCACTACCCAATTGTCACGTGCGTCTAAACAGAAAGGAATTGCTGGGGACGACTATGGAATGTGTGAAGGATAAAAATAGAATCTCGTGGACGTTACGTTTCCTTATTTGGCATTCGTAAGCCTATGAACTTCGAGTATGAGAAGTGAGAGCGCGCGGAGCGCGCGTTAATATTTGCTAATTAACTTAAAGTCTAATCGCTGGAAGGTTCCGTACCAATAAACTCATACTGCACTAGGGATTCAATAGCTAAGACGTTGTCCACTAATAGCTAGAAATTTAATAAGCAATGTAACTCAAATCCGTTTTGCGACATCATGATTAGTTAGCTTACACTTTCCTACCGACCATAGGCCGCGCGTGAGCCTTATTAGGCTCTATGAGGCAATGCGAGCGTGCATACTTTCTTAAATTACATTAGACTATAATTTATACGCGCTTCAGATATACTCAAATCTTTCAGCAGAGATTAACGTGATATTAAGGCATAAGTACATAGTGTCTATATATCAGCTAGAATCGATAAGAATTGTAACTCAATATCGTTTCGCCTATCCATATGATAGTTTAGTGCCTTAAGACATATGTTCCTACGAACGTCATTAAAAAGGTCATAAAAAGCAAATTAGATAGGCGTAAGCTAGGTAGCGCGCGGTTGAGCGAAGAGGATCACTAAGACACAAATCCGCGTTCACGCTTACAAATCTTACTACCTCTTTTATCTCTACCCCAACTCACCCAGGTCCCGCGTACGTCGCAATTGCCTCCCCTGATCTCTCCCACTGCACTTCTTCACATTTCACAGGCACTTGGAACGTTTCAATAAAATATCAATGACAAATAAATACGAACTATCCCTACTCTTCCCACACCTCCATTCCCTCTTTAAACTTCGCTTCTATTACTCCTCCTTTCACCTCATTATTTGCCTCCCTCTACGAGCATAACACCTTTTCCTGTAAATGTCCCTCGTTCCAATCTCCGTATGCTCAGTTCGTGCTCAGTATTGACGAGGGGCACGTCTGGCTGGCGCTTGCATCACTGACACATTAAATATATAGCAGATAGAGAACAGCGTGCTATCGCACGATACCAATATCAATGCTTAACTCCCAGGAGACGCGGCTTACTAACCGGTTGATTTTTCATACGAAGACAACACAAATATTAACGACACGGCCATTCCTCTTGGGTCCATGCTTGTTTCTATTGTGAGACCACGAATCAAGGCTGTGCCTTCACACATTGTTATAACCAGAGTCCACGCAGAGCCGTCTGGGCTCATCTGAGGTCTGTTTCTACGATTAAAAACGTAAAATTTCAGTCGTGCGTAGTACACCCGTAACTCACATTTGCTCTAGAGTCCTCCCTCCGTCAGATTACTCGCAGACACTGGCAGTTGCGCTACTCACATCCCTACTTGCTTATGTCCGTCCCACGCCACCCCTTATCCGCACGTATTGGGCGGTAGTGGGCGGAGGCTCCTCGGGTGGCCTCGGGAGGGGTGGGGGGAGGGTGGGGGAAGGGGGCGGGGGGAGAGGGCCTGTGCGCGCCGTACCTCCCCCTCTCCCTTCGCCTCTCTCTCCTCTCTCTACTCCCTCGTCACTATCGGGCTGATTTCATGGCGGGAGGTGGCTCGTCTGGAGAGGGGGAGCGTCTCACTATAGAAAAGAGCAGTTCACTCCTATTGTGTAAGCAGATTCACGAGTCACACATTACATGTTTAAACGCAGCGTCCGCTCTTTGAGGGACAAAAGAGTTATCCGAACCACTGTACTCACTTGCGAATGCGAGCAGAAGGGACATTTCGATGTGCTCCTTCAATAAAGCGCATTAATAATGCTAGGTTCACCCGCTGAACCACAAAAAAGATTTTTCAAATCGCTCCGTCACAACATTACCCCAATGTCCCTGCAGAAAAATGTTAAAATCTGCCTCTGTGCCCATTGACCTTTCGACCTGTGAACCTACCCTCCAAATTTCGGCACAGTGATGTGCTTTTACTACGGCATGATGGCTATAGCATCCGACTATCACGAGCCTAGGTCGAGCCCGTTTAAGATTTGTGCGCAATTCTGCA